CAAACACCTCAGTAACACCGTGGGTCATGCTTGTGCATGCGTGGCTGGTGGTGCTGTAACATGCCCGAAATGTCAAGAATTTAAGCATCCATTAAATTAGTTTTATTTCACGTATAGTATTCGCGTAAATATAAGAATTCCACTACATCCTATAATAGTATTACTGAGCATAGGACTCTGCCATAGATTGTCTTAGAGGGAGGGGTTTTGCCATAGTTACCACGCTTGGCAGGCGTGTTGAGTTCATCAGAGATGTTTAGTTTCCCTCTGTCGCGACTTACGACAACTACGGGACGATATGGGGTGGTGTTAAGAAGTCATTGTAATTTTATATTACTTTTATAAAGTAAATCTATGCTAATTTTGTCTTGTCTACCACGGCTATCTTCCTGCCCATGCTCTTCCAACCAGGAGTAGCAATTGCTTGGATCATACGATCCTAAGAACAAAGTCTCCCACTCTTACTTTTATCTATAGCTCCTCAGTAACTGATCACTGTTCCACATTACTTTGCATACACACTCAACATATACGAACGGCCTCAACTTCATTCATCACCAGGATCGACTATGACGGTGTCTTGACAAATCAGTATTACAACTGGACTTCACCCCTCTTTTTTATAAGAGATGTAAATATAGCTACCGATAAATTCATTAAATTAGTAGCTTCGGCCATTTTCGATAACACGGCAGTTAAAAAAGATCCTTCGAAAAAGAAAATTCTCAAACCTTGGATTACTCCTGGTTTATTACGGTGCATAAAAAATAGGGACGCTCTACATAAAAAAGTTAACTCTTCTGGTAACGACGTACTAAAAATTACCTACAAGAGATACAGGAATTTTAGTAATAGTATTTTGAAAAAAGCAAAATAGAATAGAATAGAATAGAATGATTTTTATTCAATATGGATTATTACATAATACTTATTGAAAGTCATTATTTTATTTACCACTGGTTCGGAAAATACCTCTGTCCTGGGAAGAACCAGCAAGAAACCCAGTGGGACTTTTTTTTTAAACATAATTTCACTTAACAATAATTTTGTTTATACAATTTTAAATGAATTTTCATAGAACCAGCATGGTGGCGATCACCTTATTCCCAGGGGTTATTTTCATTCATGTATTCCTTGATATTATAATAACCCTTTTTGTACAGTTTTTCTTTAATAAAACTTTTAAACTTGTTTATTGACAAACTTTGAACATGTTCTGGGATTCTGTTGTAAAAGCGTATACATTGCCCCATAAATGAATTACTAATTCTGTGGAGTCTTGTAAGTGGCATTACAAGCTTATGTTTGTTCCTAGTGTTTAAGGTATGAACATCCTTATTCTTATTAAAGCTATTTATGTTTTTATGTACATACATTACATTTTCATAAATATATTGCGATGCCAAAGTTAATATGTTTATTTCTTTAAATTTTTCTCTAAGGGACTCTTTACAATTTAGATTATAAATCGCCCGTACGGCTCTCTTTTGCAAAACAAATATAGCTTCAATATCAGTCGCATTACCCCATAGCAAAATTCCATAAGACATTACGCTATGAAAGTAACTAAAATACACTAACCTAGCTGTCTCAACATCTGTGAGACTTCTAATCTTTCTTACAGCATATGCTGCAGAACTAAGTCTGCTTGCTAATTTAGATATATGGGGGCCCCATTGAAGTTTCGCGTCAATAGTAATACCGAGAAAAACAGTGGTATCCACAAGACTCAACTCCTCCCCATTTAAGAGCACATTGGTTTTCGAATGTTTTACATTAGGTATTGTAAATTTAATACATTTTGTCTTATTGCCGTTTAAGAGCAAATTGTTGGCGTTAAACCAATGTACTAGTTTCGATAGAATATTATTTACATCGTCATATTTAATTGACTGCCGTTTCAGTTTGAAAATTAAAGAGGTATCGTCAGCAAATAATACTATATCGTGATTGTCCCCTACAAGATAAGGTAAGTCATTAATATAGATTAAGAACAGGAATGGGCCAAGAATCGAGCCCTGAGGAACGCCCATTGATACTACCGATCCGGAGGAACATTTACCATTAATGACGACTTAAAAACTGTAAAGAACTGCAAAGAAACTGTATGATACACAGGAACTAAGTAAAGCAAGTAATAAACCAAAAAACTTGTGGGATACTATAAAACAAGTAACGAACACTATTAAAACTAAAAACCCTTCTACACAATTACTAACTTTATTACCTTCACCTAAGCAGTCGTGCAATAGTGTAAATTCGTACTTTGTAAATATTGGAGAGAAACTTGCAAATGATATAATCAACTGCAGAACCTTTCAAACAATATGGATGATAATAACCCCTGGAAATGAGGTGATCGCTACCAAGCTATTTCTAATTTGTTGTGTTGTTAATTTGTGTAACATCATGATTGTAAGCTGTTATTTAAAAAAAAAAGTCCCGCTGGGTTTCTTGCTGGTTCTTCCCAGGACAGAGGTTTTTTCCGAACCAGTGGTAATCAAACAAAAGAGTGACTTTCAATAAGTATTATTTATAATCTATATTGAATAAAAAAGTTTCTGTTTCTGTTTCTGTCAACAACCTCCCCACAAACCCAATCTAACATCACATCGACTTCATCTTTTGTCCTAGATCCTACAGATCCTATTTATTTATATTTTTTTTATAGGATAGGGTGACAAACGAGCACACAGTCCACCTGATGGTAAGTGGTTACTGTGGCCCATAGACATCTACATTTATCCTCGTTTGCGAATCAAAATGCAGATGCGTTGTCACCCGTGAGGACTAAGATAGAATGCCTCTTTTCCAGTAAAAAGGGTCTCCGGTTCTCTACACTCACCATACGAAACACAGCAGTCTTAAGCTCCTATTTTACGCTGGTATTCTGTGAGAGCGTGGTCCTTCCCCGGTCGAGCCGACCCATTCGTGCTACAATTATACTACTAATATAGCTGCAGCATGGCTCTACCACGTAAATAAAATTATTTCAGTTATAGACTCTAGATACGGTCTAATGCTGCTACTGGTTGGGATGGCATTTCGCCTTCCTTCCTAAAGAAATACTCAACCACTCTATCGAAAGTTCTCGAAAGATTGATTAATAAAAGACTAGTTTTCTACCTCGAACATTATAATTTAATTTCTTCACAGCAGTTTAGCTTTCGCAAGAATAAATCGACTAATGATGCAGTTCAAAGTTTAACCGATCATGTCGTTAAGAACTTGAATCAAGGCAAAAAGGTCCTAACTATATTTTGGATCTCGCAAAAACGTTTGACACCGTTCCTGTCTCAACTCTCTTACTCAAATTAGAAAAGGTAGGTGTCAGCGGGTTACAACTAGATCTCTTCCAAAGTTACCTCACAAATCGCTCCCAGATTGTCAGGATTGATGATCACAATAGTGATGACCTCCCAGTCTATTACGGCGTTTTTTTTTAATATAGGATGGGGTGACAAACGAACACACAGTCCACCTGATGGTAAGTGACCGCTGTGGCTCATAGACATCTACATCTATCTCCGTTTGCGAATCAAAATGCAGATGCGTTATCACCCGTGAGGACTAAGATGGAATGCCTCTTTTCCAGTAAAAAAGGGTCTCCGGTTCTCTACACTCACCATACGAAACACAGCAGTGTTAAGCTGCTATTTTACACTGGTATTCTGTGAGAGCGTGGTCCTTCCTCGGACGAGCCGACCCATTCGTGCTACAACTATACTACTAATATAGCTGCAGCATGGCTCTACCACGTAAAAAAGTAACATACCACAAGGAAGTATATTAGGTCCCACACTATTCTTAGTGTTTGTCAACGATCTATGCAACCTTAATATTCCAAATGCTAAGATTATATCATTTGCAGATGATACTGCAATAACATTCGTGGCCGAAACATGGTCTGTACTTGAGCACAAGGCTCAACTTGGCTTCGACCTTATAACAAATTGGCTTTGTTACCACACGCTAACTCTTAATGCCTTCAAAACTAAATTTATTACCTATTTTATTAGTTCAGTCACCCAACCAAATTTACCAATATCCCTTAAAGCCCACTCTTGCCAAGTAGATACTCAGGTCTCTTGTCAATATCCTCTGTTGAGCATATTAAATACCTAGGTATAACCTTAGATAAAAACCTAAATTTTAAAAGTTACATTAATCTTCTCACTGGCAGAGTCCGTAAATTAATTTACATATTTAAAACCATAAGAAGTACTGCTAACCCTACTTATCATTATGTAACTGCAAGAAGACTGTCCGCTCATACCTTCAAAACACATCTTATGACGAAAAAGAAAAATACATGAACTGACTGATTATAAAATAACTAACCTGATTTATCTACTCTCTCACACAAATACACACATGCACACGCAAACACATACGCACACACATACACACGCATTCATTTCTCAACTTTATAATTATAATTTGAGTAACTAGAAATTGATATCATTGTAGCACTTTCAACTGTATGCATGTAATTATTATATACATAATATTGTGGCGATTGAGACTGTTAGTCCTTAATACAGGTTATTCTGTAACCTAGCTAGGAGTGCAGAGCTACATCCACTAGATTTAAGGACATATTTTATAGATAGTACAAACAATGTAATGTCAAACCCATGTACTACAATCACTTTAAATATAAATAAAGTTATTCTTATTCTTCTTATTTTAACATTATAAAGAGGTAAAGTTTGTAAGTTTGTGAGTTTGTTTGTAGGAAGTAATCTCTGGAAATACTGAACCGATTTTAAAAATTCTTTCACGAGTAGAAAGCTACATTATTCCTGAGTGACATAGGTTATATTTCATTGTGGTTAATAAATTTTTCTATGTGAAATAACAATATTTGTCAATCAATTCCGAAAATAAATCCTAAACACTCAGTACTAAGAACCACACAAGATAATTTCATCACAAGTAAAAATGTTTGACGCCCAGCGAAGTGGGCACGGGTCGGCTAGTTTAATACAAATGTGTACCTGTAGGCGCGCAATCTCCTCTCCAACGGCTTTGTTTTCGTGGCACACAAGACTCTGGTAATACTGTGTGAGACCTTTGAACGCAGACAGCTTGGCTTGCACCTGCAATAGAATAGAATAGAATAGAATGATTTTTATTCAATATGGATTATTACATAATACTTATTGAAAGTCATTATTTTATTTACCACTGGTTCGGAAAATACCTCTGTCCTGGGAAGAACCAGCAAGAAACCCAGCGGGACTTTTTTTTTAAACATAATTTCACTTAACAATAATTTTGTTTATACAATTTTAAATGAATTTTCATAGAACCAGCATGGTGGCGATCACCTTATTCCCAGGGGTTATTTTCATTCATGTATTCCTTGATATTATAATAACCCTTTTTGTACAGTTTTTCTTTAATAAAACTTTTAAACTTGTTTATTGACAAACTTTGAACATGTTCTGGGATTCTGTTGTAAAAGCGTATACATTGCCCCATAAATGAATTACTAATTCTGTGGAGTCTTGTAAGTGGCATTACATGCTTATGTTTGTTCCTAGTGTTTAAGGTATGAACATCCTTATTCTTATTAAAGCTATTTATGTTTTTATGTACATACATTACATTTTCATAAATAAATTGCGATGCCAAAGTTAATATGTTTATTTCTTTAAAATTTTCTCTAAGGGACTCTTTACAATTTAGATTACAAATCGCCCGTACGGCTCTCTTTTGCAAAACAAATATAGCTTCAATATCAGTCGCATTACCCCATAGCAAAATTCTATAAGACATTACGCTATGAAAGTAACTAAATTACGCTATGAAGTAACTAAATGTAATAATAATGTTGATTGAACAGCAACATTACAGCTTATTGCATAGTTTTGTGAATATTACAACACAAATGAAAATAGTTATCATCATCATCATCATTAAAGCCTACCAAACGCATATAGGCTGAACACAGGCCACCACCCTTAATTGCCCCATACAGAGGATTTTGCTATTATTACTAGGCAGGTAGGTCACTGATGCTTTTTATTATTATTTTATATATATATATATATATATATATATATATATATATATATATATATACGAGCATGCGGATCACTTGATGGTAAGTGTCGACCGCCGCTCATGGACTGGAGACTGGAATTGCAGGTGTTTTGCCGGCTTATTAGAAGTAAGCTCATTTCATAAAGGTCCTTAAGTCGTATCTTATTTAGGAAGATGTTGCTGCCCATATACCGTTTCAGTTTTCCGTTGTCGCCTCTTACGACACCAGCAGGACGATTTGGGGTAGTGGATATTCTTACACCGCCACTAGACAGCATAATAAAAGGAAAATAATAGTTTTTACCACATCAACTCTAAAGTAAATGATTTAGAAACTAACTTCCCAATGAACTAGACACTTGTAATTTTAAACATAGCTTCAACTGATTGACAATGTAAAAATATGAAGAAAAAAAAGTGGTATACTACTAATTTAAAACACTAACTTTTTTATGGAAGAGGAGCCAAACAAGTGTACGGTTCACGTGATAAGTACAGAGCTCACCTGATGAATATGCGGCCCGCCTGATGAATAGTATATAAAAGGTATTGGTGCTTACGGTAGGTATCCAGTCGCGGTCCCACAGCGTCTTCAGCTGCTCCTTTTGCATAGAGCGCAACGCGTCCGTGTACAGCTCCTCGCACTGCGCGCACACCTTTGCCACTGTGCTCTCTTTCATCTCATCTGAAATATATATACATTTAAACTAACGGCCACCTTAAATAAATTTTCTGTTGCTATTAAAATATTTTTATTCAAAACAAGCTGTAACACCCTGTTTCACCCCTTCAGGGATTGGATTTTCCAAAATCCTTTCTTGTTGGGTGTCTTCATTGAGAAAGGAGTATGTTTGCCAAATTACAAGTCAATCAGGTGTATAGTTTTGGAAATCTTGTGAGGAGTGAGTGAGTCAGTGGTATTTCGCCTACATATATATAAGTATATAGAGAGAGAGATTAGCAAAAAAGTTTTTTTTTAATCAAGAAATTACACCATCACTTCAACAACACCCTGATGCCGCAGACTTTGTGATAAAAGAAACTTACAAGTAGACCATTTTACTCTCAATACTTACAATTTAACCTAGTAAAACAATAATAATAATAATAAAATATGATGAGAAAACTATACAAATACCCCACATAATAATAATAATTTATTATTTCAAGCAAAAAATATATCTTAATTTCTATGATACAAACACTTCAAGATACAGCTTAACAATAAATAAATATATTTCTTTTAAATAATCCTCCAATTTTTAATAACCAGCCTTGAATTTATGCAAAGGAAAATTTGGAATATTAAATGAAATTTACGACTATGCTGAAAACGACGGCAATACTCAGACTTATTCTGTGGGATAGAATACATAACAAAGATATTCAAAGTATAATCAGAATAACTGCAATAGCAACAGCCTACCAATTAAGTTGCAAGTACCAACAACTGATGAAGAAAAAAAAGATTCTCGAGTTGCAACCTTATAGTAAAGCACAGTAAAGTTAAAGTTACAGCCTATATAGATACGTCCCACTGCTAGGCACAGGCCTCCTCTCATTTCTGAGAGGGTTTTAAGGCAAGGAAATGCGCGCTGCCCCACAATGTGTGTTAGCGAACTTCACGTCTTCGAAATATTTTTTTTTCTAATTTCTCAGACATGACATGACAGAGCATGTGTTAAATCAGCACTTAAAATTGCTATTAACTATTTAATTGGTGCCGACAGGTATGGAACCTGGGTTACTGGCGTACTGTGAAATTTGTAGTGAGCGCTTAACCCCTGAGCTAGCAAACATTCAATAAATCAATGTATGCAGGTGGCTTAGGAGCACAGGATTTTGTAGCATTATTTGGGGGAAGCCCATGTTCAGCAGTGGACGTGTGAAGATGTCGAATGATGATGATAAATGTTGCTTATGGTGTACAATAACAATGTATAAAATAACCTACCTACCTACCAGGTATGTATGGAATGTAGGTGACCCCATAAGTACCTCATAAAAATCGTTAAAATACGTCAAGCCAGAAGCCAGAGAAGAATTATGAACAAACACACACACACACACACACGCACACGCACACACGCACACACGCACACACGCACACACACACACACACACACACACACACACACACACGTGCACACACACGTGCACACACACGCACACACACACACGTGCACACACACACGTGCACACACACACGTGCGCACACACACACACGCACGCACACACAAAGCAGAACATTTTACATAAAGATGATGTTGTGTTGGATATTATCATAGTAGTACTGGTAGTACTCACCTCGGATACATTTGTAGGCAATGACCTCTTGCGCCTGTGCAAGCATCAGTTGTGACAGCGCCTGAAGTGTTTCAGGATTCAGGTCAGGCGTGGGATCTTGGTGTACAGCCATCAGAATATTGGCTTTTAGATATGCGAAGATACCGGCTGCTTGCTGTAGCAATAATTACAAATATATGCAGATTTGACATTGATAGCCAGATAAATCTTTTACATCTAGTTTACACAGGATATGGTTATATCATCATCAATCAAATAGAATAGTGTAAAATATTTTTTTATTCGCTGTAGATTACAATTTTTTTTTATTTTTACCACTGTTTCGAAAAGTACCGAATGAACCAGCAAGAAACTCAGTGGGATTTTTCAATTTCAATCAATATTAAATATTAGTTTACACAAATATTTAATTGCAACATTTTCTTAACATAAAAAAAAAGTATATAAAGTTTATCTTTATTATTTGCCTTCATTAGCATGTGTAAGCCTCTTCTGTTATAGGAAGAATTCAGGCACGACTACGGCGTTTACGGCGCTACGACCTGAAGGCGGATTCGCATAAATCTCGACGAGATACGCCGAAACGTAACAGTAAAATTTTTCGATATCTCGCTTAGACAAAGATGGTTATTAGGCAAGTAGTTCAAATTTCAAAAAACCAAACTCAGTTTTTTGCTATTATCTTGAAAGCTATGTTCAATGTGGGAAAATACTTAAAATAAAATTGATAATCTATTAAGTTCACGTAGGAATCATAGAAACCCCAGAATTTACCTTAATCATTACGATTGGTGGGATTGGCAATTGCTGTACCAGACATTTCGCATCTTTAACACTAATACCCGTCATCAGTTTGGGTATTTATGTCTGGTGTGAACAAGATGGTTATATCATAAAGCCATAAAATTATTCTGGAATTTCCGTCCGTCGTCTCTAACCACACATGGCAGGTTTATAAGGGGATATTGGATTTTCTTACAGTGCCACTACAGGGCTAACTTATTCTTGGCTATATATATATAATTTACTAGCTAATACCCGCGATTTCGTCCGCGTTGCTTGATATATTAACAAAGAAAAACACAGACAAACATCTTTGTTTTTTTTTTATTGGATATGGGTGACAAACGAGCACACAGTCCACCTGATGGTAAGTGGTTGCTGTGGCCCATAGACATCTACATCTATCTTCGATTAAGAATCAAAATGCAGATGCGTTGTCACCCATGAGGACTAAGATGGAATGCCTCGTTTCCAGTAAAAAGGGTCTCCGGTTCTCTACACTCACCATACGAAACACAGCAGCGTTAAGCTACTATTTTACGCTGGTATTCTGTGAGAGAGTGGTCCTTCCCCGGTCGAGCCGACCCATTCGTGCTACAACCATAATATAGCTACAGCATGGCTCTACCACGTAAAAATGTTTCTTAAAACTTTTATAACTTACTTACTTACTTACTTTTATAATATTAAATGAAGATATCGCAATACTTTGCTTTTAGGTAAGGGCCAAGTGTCTAAGAAATAAAACTTACAAAACCGAATTGAAATCTATCCAGTAGTTTTTCCGTGATACGCGCACAACTGCAAACCTCTATCATTTTATTGATATATAGACTATAGATAATTTCCGTCATTACAGTCTACAGGCATATATGCATAGAACAAAGGAAACATAGGTCTCCCCAATAGACTGTTAGATAGATTGATGATATGGGATAGTGCATTCTCATACGCCGTCACTAGATGGCTCTGTTCATCAACAAGGAGCAATCTGCAGGCGAGGTTGGTAATTGCTACAAAAGTTGGCATATTCTCCCTTATGGGATGTAAGAAAGAATATGCTAACTTAAAGGTATTATTTTCAAGTAATGTAAAACTTGAAAATAAAATCTTATAACATTTAAATGTCCAGCTGTGTAATTGCTATTCATGTTGAATGAGTGTTTGAGAGCTGGCGCACAGTTCTAATGTAAATATTTTTAATTCCTATCAATCAACACTTCACAGTGCCATCTATATGATATTGGACTGTACTGGTTCATAGACAATATTAAAATTAAGGTTTATATTTACATTCAATCAATAAATTGAACTACAAGAGGATTTAAGATGGGTTAAGTTCTACTCATAGCTTGGATACTGTTATAAAAATGCCAAATTACGGATGCCGTAAATTGGCATTTTTATAACACATATGATTGTAGTTGTTGGAGTGATTATTTTGATATATATTTTCTTTTGTGAAATGTAATTTAAATAAAACAGTTAAAATTCTTTATTTGAATGTGTTTTTGTAAATGGCAAAATGGTACCTGCAACAATTTTGCAGCAAGCTTAAGGGAGTCCTCAGTGTCAAGTGCCTGCTGGGCAGCTAGAGAACTCTGCATGGCTGCCATGTTGAATAGGATGCACATACGCTCATAGGCCAAGGAGGCAACAGCTGTAACAAAAAAAATTCTTTGTTAATCATGTGGTGGAGAATGCCAAAAAAGTTACACTATTTCCAAAACAATGAGGTTTATTTTTATTGTAACTTAGGAGATCTATACATATAAATAAAATTGAAGTGTCTGTCTACAATAAAACAAATAAAAATAAAATAAAATAAGAGTTTATTTCTTTAACAAGGTTTGTCTTAAATCTAGAACGTAGAATATAATTTCTGTATGTGGTAGAGGCATGCTGCAGCTATATTAATAGTAGAGTTGTAGCACGAATGGGTCGGCTCGACCGGGTAAGGACCACACCCTTACAGAATACCAGCGTAAAATAGCAGCTTAACACTGCTGTGTTTCATATGGTGAGTGTAGAGAACCGGCGACCATTTTTACTGGAAAAGAAGCATTCTATCTTAGTCCTCATGGGTGACAACGCATCTGCATTTTGATTCTTTATTGAGGATAGATGTGGATGTCTATGGATCACAGCAACTACTTACCATCAGGTGGACTGTGTGCTCGTTTGTCACCCTATCCTATAAAAAAAAGAAACATAGGTTGACTAATTCTTTAAAGTGCATTTGCACTTGTGTCAGAAGGAGCATAATATCATATGTAATATTGAAATAACTAACTTTTATTGTGCTGAGGGGTTATTTGTATGTCATTAATACACAAATAACCATTATTAAAATGTTTGAAACTTCACAAACAGGTCTCAGTTTTTTTGCTAATATCTTGAAAGCTATGTCCAATATGGGAAAATACTTAAGATAAAATGGATTATCTATTAATTTCACATATAAAAAGTATTCTCATTTGAATTTAAAAAAAAACCATTGTATTGGACTATAAGAGATGGAAGGTAAAGGTGTAAGGATTTTTTTTAATGTATTATTGCAAATAAAAAAGTAAAGCAAAGTGCAAGTACAGCCTAAAACACTATTATAATAAGACATACATACATGATAGAATGATTTTTATTCAATATGGATTATTACATAATACTTATTGAAAGTCATTATTTTATTTACCACTGGTTCGGAAAATACCTCTGTCCTGGGAAGAACCAGCAAGAAACCCAGCGGGACTTTTTTTTTAAACATAATTTCACTTAACAATAATTTTGTTTATACAATTTTAAATGAATTTTCATAGAACCAGCATGGTGGCGATCACCTTATTCCCAGGGGTTATTTTCATTCATGTATTCCTTGATATTATAATAACCCTTTTTGTACAGTTTTTCTTTAATAAAACTTTTAAACTTGTTTATTGACAAACTTTGAACATGTTCTGGGATTCTGTTGTAAAAGCGTATACATTGCCCCATAAATGAATTACTAATTCTGTGGAGACTTGTAAGTGGCATTACAAGCTTATGTTTGTTCCTAGTGTTTAAGGTATGAACATCCTTATTCTTATTAAAGCTATTTATGTTTTTATGTACATACATTACATTTTCATAAATATATTGCGATGCCAAAGTTAATATGTTTATTTCTTTAAATTTTTCTCTAAGGGACTCTTTACAATTTAGATTATAAATCGCCCGTACGGCTCTCTTTTGCAAAACAAATATAGCTTCAATATCAGTCGCATTACCCCATAGCAAAATTCCATAAGACATTACGCTATGAAAGTAACTAAAATACACTAACCTAGCTGTCTCAACATCTGTGAGACTTCTAATCTTTCTTACAGCATATGCTGCAGAACTAAGTCTGCTTGCTAATTTAGATATATGGGGGCCCCATTGAAGTTTCGCGTCAATAGTAATACCGAGAAAAACAGTGGTATCCACAAGACTCAACTCCTCCCCATTTAAGAGCACATTGGTTTTCGAATGTTTTACATTAGGTATTGTAAATTTAATACATTTTGTCTTATTGCCGTTTAAGAGCAAATTGTTGGCGTTAAACCAATGTACTAGTTTCGATAGAGCATTATTTACATCGTCATATTTAATTGACTGCCGTTTCAGTTTGAAAATTAAAGAGGTATCGTCAGCAAATAATACTATATCGTGATTGTCCCCTACAAGATAAGGTAAGTCATTAATATAGATTAAGAACAGGAATGGGCCAAGAATCGAGCCCTGAGGAACGCCCATTGATACTACTGATCCGGAGGAACATTTACCATTAATGACGACTTTTTGAGTTCTGTTACTTAAATATGAAGTAATAAGTTTAAGCGCCAAATTTTTTACACCGTAATGTTGTAGTTTCCTGATTAATGTATCATGATGAACACAATCGAAAGCCTTGGAAAGGTCACAGAAAATACCTAAGGCATCTTGTGAATTCTCCCAGGCATTAAAAATATATTTCATAAGCTCAACACCGGCGTCAGACGTCGAGCGACCCCTTGTAAAACCAAATTGATTTTTATGAAGTAATTTATTTGTATTAAAAAAAATTAACAATTGATCCAAAATTATTTTTTCAAAAATTTTACTGAGAGTTGGTAGTACAGAAATAGGTCTATAATTAGCGGGGTCCAATGTACTACCAGATTTAAATAAAGGTATTACTTTACTATACTTCATTAAATCAGGAAACACACCAGAATCGATACAAGTATTAAAAATAATAGCAAGATGAGGTGCAATTAAATCTATTATGGACGCAATCACTGTAACGGAAATCCCCCACAAATCTGCGGTTTTCTTTACATCAATGGTTTTGAAGTATTTTACAATATTATGCGGTAATACTTTTTCAAATCTAAATTCTTTTAAACAGGTATTAACATTCTGTTTAAGTAATGATTCGGCGACAGTTGGAGAAGCATTCAATGACTCTGTTGTCAAGATAGGAACATCAGTGAAATATTTCTCAAACACCGCTGCAACTTCTTGATTTGATTTAGTCAATTCATTATTAATTTTTAATTGATAGTTTGAATTACGAGGTTTCTCTTTACCGGTTTCGCTGTTAATTATACTCCACGTCATTTTAATTTTATTCTTAGCTGTCTTAATTTTGTTACTAATATGTAATGATTTGGCTGTGGAGCAAACTCTTTTAAACATTTTAGAATAATTTTTTACATATTCTTTAAAAGCATCGGAAAGATTATACGATCTTTCATGGTAAAGGTCATATAACCTTCGTCTGCTTTTATGAATTCCTACTGTCGCCCACTCATTAAATGCCTTGCGACTGTTTCTGGAGAATGTTTTAGAAGTGAATGTTTTATTAAATTCATTGTTTATAAAGGTAAATAATTCTCTATATAAATAGTCTGCATTGTTCTTATAAGAAAGGGATGGAAGGATTTTTAACATATTACTTCTAAATCTCTCCAGGCGTTTTGCATTAATAGGAACAAACACAATTTTCTCATTTACCTGTTTTTTGTGCATATAAGGTAACGAAACCAGTTGTCCACAGTGATCTGAACTAAGTTTTTGTATTATTGATTTGTTAATTGGTACAACACCTGTTAAAATATTATCAATACAAGTTGCACTACACCCTGCAATACGTGTAGCTTCAAAGAATAAATTATTAAGATTATAGGATTTGAACAAAGAACAGAATTTAATACTGATGGAAGAAGTTTCCAGGAGATTGATATTAAAGTCTCCACACACTACAAGAGATTTATTCTGTTTATTAAGCTTAACTAAAACTTCTTCCATAATATTTTCAAAAGTATCATAACTTGAACATGGGGGTCTGTAAACACTGACAACAATAAGGTGCTCAAGCTCAACACATGCCATTTCTACAGTACGCTCAACAGAGAGGCTCACAATGTCTTTACGTTCTTTACATGATAAGGACTTATTAGGTAATATTAAGGAGCCGCCACGTAATTTAGTATCTCTATTGAACGAACTGACCACCTGGTGATTACTGAAATTAAATATGGAGTTGTATTCTTTCAACCAATGTTCTGTAATACATAAAATATTTATACTGTTACTATTTAAAAATAAATCAATTTCTAATTCTTTGCCTAACATACCTTGTATATTTTGATGCACCAGGTTGATACAGTTTTTATTATTGTTATTTTGTAAAATTGCATAATTATGTATTGGTAAGTTGCATTCTAAGCTATTTAAATTATCTTTGCTAGAGATTACCTCTATTGTCTTATTATCTAATTACTTGGAACTGTTTCCAAATCAAATATAAAATTATTTTGTTGCTCAAAAGAAGCAGGTGTCAAGGTAGCCAAATCATTGGCTGAGTTAAAATATAAATAATAAGATAGCGTATTTGCTACCAGTCTTAAACTATACTTTGATAGGTAATACCTATGTTACGGCCTACGGCTGCTCCCTTAAAGGATCAGATCCCCAGGGGCCCATGAGCTGAAGTCCTCCCGAGCAGACGTAGGTCGGGCTCAATGTGCCACGTGGAATCTCTCTAATTACACTAAATATATGGGGGAGCGTTATACTACGGTCAGTCGACCGGAAGGAATTTGGCGGAGTTCACTTACCTCTATCCAAGGCGACTGGTCCCTCCGGAGTCGGTCAGGTCGCATGTGGTTGTGTAGTGCAAGGGAAAGAATGGTGATGTGGTGTGTATCTGGGTGTGACTGATGGTGATTGAACCTAGACCTTAGCCGTCGGCAGCAGCCCGAGCGTCGATACCGCTCCAACTTGAGGGGGCCTTTCGAGGTTATCCACAGTCACTTTCTTGGTTCACCACGATGACAGTCACTTAACTCTATCGTACTATTAACTAGCTTACAGAAGCCACTAACTATCGCGGGGTATACGGTTACCGCACAAAACACGCCCGGAGGTTCTGGGTCAAAGGTCACTACCGTTTCGCGTGGCAACAGATAGTTCTAAATACAGAGGCCGCACTAGCTTATATTGTCGAATGCACTTATACAGATTCTGAGTCGGACCCAATAAGTCCCGAGAAAGGCTATCCAAACAGGGAATGCGCGTTATAATTCCTAGACAGGATATTTACTAGACGCCCTAACTATTCCGCGGTTCCCGCACAAAATTAACAGCGTGCAAACATTA